ATATATATATATATATATAAAGATAATTGTAGCCAGGCACAGTAGAGTACACCTGTGATCCTAACTACTTTGGAGGCTGAGGCAGGAGGATCCCAATTTCAAGGCCAACCTATGAAACTTAGTGAGGTTCTGTCTCAAAATAAATTATATAAAAAGGTCTGAGGGTGTACCCTCAGTGGTACCCCACCACCACCACACTCTTCAATCTCTAGTACTCATTTGGGGTAGGCAATGACAATTATATCTATCCTCTTTTCTGTAAGCTATCTAACTCTACACTATTTTTCCTTTCCTTACACTATCCCCTATCTATCTGTCCAATTATTTTGGCTGAACACAGGAAAATTACCTAAGATCAGAGTTGTCCAAAGATAACAGATGACTCCTTGGGAAGTACTGTGGTTCCACTTCATTGTGGAACATGACCCAGACCACCATATCTCATCAGTTTTATAACAGGACGTCAAATATAAGTCACCAGACTTTTTCTTTTTTTTTTGGTTTTGGGGATTGAACCCAGCGGGGGATCAACCATTGAGCCACATCCCCAGTCCTTTTTTACATTTTTTATTTTGAGACAGGGTCTCGCTAAGTTGCTGAGGCTGCTTTTCAACTCATGGTTCTCCTGCCACAGGCTGCCAAGATGCTGGGATTACAGGATATGCTACTAGACAAGTCACAAATCTTTTTAGAATGTCAGTTTTGGAAAGGGAATTTAAGCAAAAATATAGAAGTGATTAGATTAGGTGACCCACAGGGCTCCTACCAATTCAAATTTTATAATACAGCAAACCTCATTGCAGCTTATCTGGTATTGCTCTACTTTTCTTCAATTTAAGTGCTGAGTATTCTAACAGAATCTGTGACTGAAGATTTACTAGACAGAGTTATCTAGAAACAGAGTGAGCTTAATTCTTTGGTGACCTTTGGAGAAAATGGTAAAAGAAGTATTCTTCCTTACCCTTTGCAGAAACCCCCACTGTAATACCACTGGAGGTGATATAGCCTAACTATTCCAGACCATGGGAATACCCTAAAAGCACACAGCCTTTTACTAAGACAACCCTTGTACTGCTCTCCAGGGCCACATCAAAGATTTTAGGGGTTATTTTTTATTTAAAAGGAATGTGGCCTAAAATACAGTGCAAAATATTAGGGAAGGAAAAGCACTTGAATGTTCTGATTCAATAGCAGGTTCAGGGTTTTTTGTTGTTCAGGGTTTTTTGTTGTTGTTCCCTCCCTACACAAGGCTCCAGTGAGGCTCCCTAGACATGCTTGTGGTCAAGTCAAGAGTAACACTGAGATGGGATACACAGAAGATTTTCTTTCTGCTTAATTTCTCTGGATATAGGAAGAATACAAATGATAGCAGATGAAGTAAAGTGGATTTGGATAGATTATTAGAGAAGATAGATTATTAGGTTAGCTTAATGTAGTAGGCTTAATGATCGCTACATAAAAACAGCAAGTTCTAACCAGAATCTGTTCTACCTTATGTGAAAAAAAGTATCTTTGCAGATGTAATTAAGGTAAGGATCCTAATGAGATTGTCTTAGATTATCTGGTGGACCCTAAATTCAATTACAAGTGTCCTTTTTTTTTTTTTTTTTTTTTTGGTATTGGGGATTGATCCCAGGGGTGTTTAACCACTAAGCTACATCCCTACATCCCAGGCTTTTATTATATCTTATTTAGAGACAGGGTCTCATTGAGTTGCTTAGGGCCTTGCTAAATTGCTGAGGCTGGCCTTGAACTTGCAGTCCTCCTGCCTCAGCCTCTCAAGCTGCTGAAATTACAGGTATGCTCTACCATACTTGGCACAAGTGTCCTTTTAAGAGACGTGAAGGGAGATTTAATGTCCACAGAGAATGCAACAGAAAGACCCGAGGCAGAGGTGGAGTAATGTGGCCACAAGCCAAGGAAGGCTAGCAGTCACTAGAAACTGAAAGAGACAAGGAATGAACTCTCCCATAGGCCTCCACCTTGATTTCATCTCAGTGATAAAGACTTCAGACTTCTGGCCTCCAGAACTCTGTGTGAATAAATTGCAACTATTTTAAGGCACCACATTTTTAGTATTTTGTTACAGCACCATCAGGAAATTAATAAACTGGTGATGCTATATAGACTAGATTCAACAGATACAACATTTTAAAATTATAGTTGCTCTTCTTAAAACAATTCAGTTGTTTTAGTTTCAAAACTCAATATCTTAAAACTTTATCATGTTATTCTTACCCATTAAGTATAAGTTCTCAGGAGTGGTCACAGGAATATTTACAAGTTTAACATCATCTTCATCCGCTTTGTCCCAGGAATTAGAATTGCCACAAGCACAGCTATGGCAGGAATTGACACTCTGGACCTAAAAGTAAGATTAATAAAAGTTCCTTTAAAATCTCTCTAGAATACTATATTTATTTATATTTATTAATTATTTACATAAATCCTATAGCAGGGGAAACAATCAATGCAATTTTCACCTGAAGAAATAATTCTGATTATATTCAAGCAAAATTAGGATTCATATGACCCTAAATATTCTGAGTCTCTGTTTGCTCAAAAATACATAAGTAGAACAATATTTTGAATATAAATCAGTTATTTCCATAAGCATGAGGCAGTTATTTTTATAATGTTATCTAGCTTATTTCCCTTTTAGAATGTTTGACAATGCTGACTCTTTGCCAAATGAGAATTAAAAGTGTGTATCATTATTGTACATACTCTTCAACCTTAGCAAGGTCCACTACATCATATTTCAATCACCTCTATGCAAATGAATTACAAATCCCTAATTCCAATTATGTTTTCTTTTGAGTAATCCAGATCTATCTTTTCTTCTGCCTACTAGTTGATTCCACCTGGTTTTCTGCTGGCATCTCAAATTGACTACATCATAAAAAGAAGTTCAGCATCTTCCCACAACAAAAATTCCTCCTCCTCCCAAGTTCACTAATATTTCCAATTCCCATAATTTATCAAACAAACAACAACAACAACAACAACAACAACAAAAAACAGGAAGTCATCTCCAACAGGTCTTCCCACGTCTTTCATATCCAGTGACTAAGCATTTCTAGATCCTTTTTTCTCCTTTCTACTTCTGTTAACATGACCATAATTTAGGCACTCATAACCTACTGACTACAGGGCAGAAAATCCAGGCAGAAATCTGGGTTTATACCCCTGGCAGGAAAATGATGAGGCTGGCTGAAGAAGTACAGTAAAGTGATTCTGAAAACTTGTTATATTACTATCATGAAATTCCCCATGTCTAATTCTAGTTAAAAATAAAAGTTTCAAATTTCAATTGAAAAATTTCTAAATAGGTATTTCTGACACTGAACTATAGGTATACTCTTTATTATCCTGTTCAATTTCATAGCACAGAAAGTCTACAGGTCTTTGATCTAGATGTTCCTACTCATAAGCCTTTAAAAAATTATATTTTTACTGGGCATGGTGGTACATGCCTGTAGTATCAGGTACTAAGGAGGTTGAGGCAAGAGGATTACAAGTTTGAGGCCAGCCTCAGCAACTTAGCAAGGCCCTAAGCAAATTAGTGAGACCCTATCTTGAAAAAAAAAAAAGGACTGGGGGGTGTATCTCAGAGCCCCTGGGTTCAATCTCTAGTACAAGAAATAAATAAATAAAAATTTTAAAGATATATAAACTTTATTCCTCACTTGTCAATCAATATTATATTAAGGATTTAGGGGCTGGGGTGGTGGCTCAGTGGTAGAGTGCCTGCCTAGCATGTGCGAGGCACTGGGTTCACTTCTCAGCACCACATATAAATAAATAAAATAAAGGTCCATTGGACAACTAAAAAATATTTTTAAAAAATATTATATTAAGGATTTCAGGAAGTCTTCCACCTATTAGATAATACAATATGAACGCTGCAAAAGAGGAGGTAAGGAACCCCACACTTGCCAAATACTTTTCCTTAAGTAGGCTCATCAAGGGATTTTTGTAACTTAGCACAAAGTCTGGCTACATCAATCAGCTTCTTGTATAGCATCTAATTTTGAAGCATTGCTTTCACATCAAAACCACTCTCATAGGATCCTATGAACTATAACACTCACTCAAAGAAACCTGGAACCAAACTGTCTGAAATATTTAGCCAAAAAATACTTTTACCTGCCTGAAGAAAACAAATTAACCAGCTGATTTGATAAGGTTCTTTCTATACAAAGAGCTGTTAAGTGTGTGACACTTAAACTAATATATAAGAAGAGACATACAACAAATGTTATAATAATAATAATAATAATAATAATAATAATAATAATAATAAATATAGGTTTTTACTTACAGAAGCCAAACTCTGTGCAGAACCTGAGTATTTACTGAAAAGTCCTCCATTAGCAAAGTTACAAGACTGAGATCCTTTGTCTTTGGTGGAACTTAAAGATAATGTCAAATTCTGTCTACTACTGGAACAACTTGAACCTATTAACAAACATACAAATATTTAAAGTATCAATAATTTTAATAATAATTTTCATGTAAAATTTGAAATTTATATTATATTCATTCAGAAAGCTTCTAATTTTTAAAACATACTCCATTCACCTGAACAAATTATCAAATTATAATAGTATTAATATTTATATCTCTAATCATTTTTAAAATATTTTTAGGTGTAGATGGACACAATATCTTTATTTTATTTTTGTGTGGTGCTGAGGATCAAAACCTGTGTCTTACATGTGTAAGGTAAGTGCTCTACCACTGAGCTACAACCGCAGCCCACCATCTCTAATTTTTTTTTAATATTTATTTTTTGTTTGTAACTGGAAACGATATCTTTATTTTATTTACTTATTTTTATGTGGTGCTGAGGATCGAACCCAGGGCCTCCCACGTGCTAGGCGAGTGCTCTACTGCTGAGCCACAATCCCAGCCCCTCTAATGTTTTTAAAGCTACTAAAATTTGCTTCTGAAATTAAGAGTCAGTTCACCTAATTAATCAAGAAAATTTGAATGGTCTATTATAATCACTATGAAACCACTAACAACTATTAAACTTCAAACTGTACATTATAACAAAGCAATTCCTTTCCTGAATTATATCTAAACCTTACCCACATTGTATTACATTCAGTTTTTTATACATCTCTCTCCTCCATCCATCTATCCATTTTTCTGGGGCAGATGGCATATCTAAGTTTTTCTTAACAGACCAGGTAAGACACTTCTAGATTCAAATCCCAGTACTTTAAAATTATACAGCCTTGGATAAATCACTTAACTTTTACTTATCTCAATTTTCCTTTATATATAAAAGCGAACAATCACAAAGAGTTTTGTAGTCCTAATTCACAGGACTGCTATAAAGTTAAATAAAGCACCAAGTATACAGCATCTGTCTAAAATCTAATAAAATTTCAATGAATGATAGCAATCACTACTGCAGTGTTCACTGTGCTTAGTGCAAATTGTTGCTTCTTATGTGCTGGACAAATGCATCATGAAAGCATATCATACACTAAATAAAAATCTGAAAATTCTAGCATGTTCAAGAAAGTATTTTTATTCCTACAATTTAGCAATATGTACCATATCTCTAACAAAAGTTATAAATTCTTTAAAATTCAGCAATTCTTCTACAACTAAAGATTCTGAGGAAATAAAAAAATGTGTGCAAAATAAGAAAACCATGAACATACCACAATGAACAACAATGGAAATGCTTAAATAGATTAGGGTACATTTGTACAAATTTAACCCAAATTATATATAAAAATGATAGTACAGATATATTTTTATAGACCTGGAAAGCTATTCTTAATACAAATTTACTTATAGATAACAGCAAATTTTATACCTCAATATAATTAGGTACAAATACAAATGGAAAGACACACTAAAGCACTATCAGTAGCTATTTCTGTGCAGTAGAATTTCAAGTGATTTTAATTTTTTCTGTTTACTTTTCTATATTTTCTAGTCTTTCTAAAATGTTTAATTACTTACAAGTTAAATATTAAGGAAAAAATTTTGAAGACTGAAATGCTGAAATCCCTGTATTTCATCCATGATTTACACAAGAAATTTCTTCTGTGGACTTGGTTCAGCTATTTTCACATACCTTTGTCTGATGCTGCTCTTTTAGTGTACTCCAGTAAGAGGTGCTCTGGTTCCCATGGTAATATTTTTCCTTTCTTCTTTCCACGTTTTCTTTTAAAGTGATGGGCCAGAAAAACTACAGATATAGCACTCACTGCAGTTACAACAAACAACTTTTTAGCTACCGGCGAAAATTTGATCTGGAAAAGACGCAGTTAGTTTGAAAAAAAATCTTTTTTATTTGTCCAATAAAAATAAAAGCATAATACTAAATTCACTCTTAATCTAAACTACTTATAAATATTACAAGGAGAATACAATTTTACTCTTTTACAAATAACAGTTTGATGTAAAGAAAATTTTTAATATAATAATTTATTACTTTTCTGAGGTTCTCAAACAAAAAATATGGCCCCAAAGTTGGGAGAACAAAATAATTCAACACTGTGAATCTTTTTTGAGCAAGTAATAATTAAACCATGCAACTGAAGCTGTATCAAACAAGATTTTTTATTACAGAAATGATTAAAGCAAACTTCTATTTATTTATTTTTAAATATTTATTTTTTTAGTTTTAGGTGGACACTATATCTTTGTTTTATTTTTATGTGGTGCTAAGGATCAAACCCAGTGCCTAATGCATGGTAGGTGAGCACTCTACCACTGAGCCATAACCCTAGCCCCTAAATCAAACTTTTAAAAAATCTGTTCTATTAGTTATACATGACAGTAGAATGCATTTTGACACATTATAAACAAATAGAGCACAACTCCTCATTCCTCTGGCTGTACATGGTGCAGCGTCACACTGGTAGTGTAGTGTAATCATACATGTATATAGGGTAATAATGTCTGTCTCATTCCATCATCCTTCCCACCCCGATATCCTTTCCCCTCCCCCCACTCCCCTCTACCCAATCCAAAGTTCATTCATTCTTCCTTACCCAACCCCCATAAATCAAACTTTTAAACTGACCCAATTTTTTAAAAATTACCTGGAAATCTAAGCCAACAAAAGTTAACTCAATTTCTAAATACCATATAAATAAGCCATTTTATTCATGAATTATTCAACAAATCAAATATTTGATACTCAAATAAGATACTCTGAATCTTACAAAGTACCAGGAATGTGCTATGAATTAAAATCTTCTTGTAATTCTATTCAACATATACTAAGTGCCTACCACTGATTAGGAAACATTTAGTATATAGAGGTCACAGATGTTGCTTCCATCAAATAGTATAATAACTCACAGTTGAGACAGATATATTGGCAAATAATTACAAAACACTGTGACAGATACAGTTGTATGAGGACTAAGTACTAATATCATATCAAGAAGTAATTAACTTTCTCTCAGGGGACAGACTCTACTATTCATCTAAAATGCAGAGAAACTATAAAATAAAGCTAACAGATTGGAACACAGCTGGAAAAAGTGTCACTACCAACCTCACAGCAAAAAACTAAAGTCAGACAAATGGCTGGTTCTCAACTTTTTGAACCCAGGTCATCCAGACAGAAAATCAAAATAGAAAAAATAGAGCTAAATTGTATCCTAGAACAAATGAACCTAACAGAACATTCCATCTGAAATATACATTTTTCTCATGAGTACATGGAACATTCTCCAGGACAGATCATGTGATAGACCAAAAAAAAAAGTCTCAACAAATCTTTAAAAATTGAAATCATATTGAGCATCTTTTCTGAGCACAATGCAATAAAACTAGTAATCAAGAACAAGAAAAACTTCAGAAAACACAAATACATGAAAATTAAACAACTTACTCTTGAATAACCAATAGACTGAGGAAGAAATAAAAAATATTTAAAATTTCCTGGGGGGAGAAATGAAGAAACAACGTAAAAACACATGGGATATAGTAGCAAAAGCAGTAGGATAGGTTTATAGATATCAATGTCTACATCAAGAAAGAGAATAGGTATCACACACTGTAATCCTAGTGACTTGGGAGGCTGAGGCAGGAGGACCTCATTCAAGGCCAGCCTGGGTAACTCAGCAAGACCGTCTCAAAATAAAAAAATAAAAATGGTTGGGGATGTGGCTCAGTGGTAGAACACCACTGGGTTCAATGCCCAGTACTGAAAAAAAAAAAAAAATAAAGAGAAGAAAGATCTCAGTTACGACAACAACAACCAAACAACCACCACCTACCAGCACATCTCAAGGAATAAGAAAAACAAGAACAGACCAAACCCAAAATTAGTAGAAGGAAAAAAATCAAAGATCAGACAAGAAATAAATGCAACAGAGGGAGAAAGAAAACATAAATACTAAAGAGCCATCAGAGAGCTAGTTCTTTCAAAAGATATATAAAATTGACAGACTAAGAAAAATAGAGAAAACTTAAGTTAGTGTTCCATTATCTAAGATATGGATAATATCTAAGATAATAAATATATAAAAAATTTATTTTGGCTCATAGTTTTAAGGTTTCAATACATGATCAGTTGGCCCCATTGCTTTGGGTGAAGCAGCAGATCATAGTAGCAGCAAAACCACTTACTTCATGGTCAGAGGAGTGAACCAGAACAAAGAACTGGGTCCCACAGTCCTCTTCAAAGGCATACCAAGGGCAACCAAGATGGCAAAAAGGAAGTCAAGAGACAGAGACCTCTCATATGTACTCACCTCCTAAAGGCCCTACCACCTCCCAAAAGCACCATAAAGCTAGGAAGCAAGCCTTTGCCACATGGACCTTTGAGGGATACTTATCCAATCCATAGCAATACTCCAATAAAATCAGACACATTACAACTGACAGCACAGAAATACAAAGAATCATTATAGATTATTATGAACAGTTACAAGCTAACACATTTAATAACTCAAAAGGACAAATTATGGACACATACCCTTTGGTAGGGTGTTTTTTTTTTTTTTTTGGTAGTGCCAGGGATTGAACCCAGGGCCTGTGCATGGGAGGCAAGCCCTCTTCCAACTGAGCTATATCCCTAGCCTCATTTAGCAAGGTTAAATCATAAAGAAATACAAAAATCAGGCATGATGGTCATGCCTGTAATCCTAGCTACTCCAGAGGCTGAGTAAGGAGGATCAAAAATTCAAGGCCAGGCTGGGTAACTTAATAAGACCCTGTCTCAAAATAAAAATTAAAAAGGGTGAGGGATATAGCTCAGTGGTGGACTACTTGCCTAGAATATGTGAGGCCCTGGGTTCAATCCCCAGTACCACACACAAAAGTTTTGTTTTCACTATCATCAAGTGGGGTTCATCCCAGGGATGCAAGGATACCTCAAAGTATATGAATCAATAAACACAATAAATCACACCAACAGATTGAAACACAGAACTCACATGATCATCTTAAGAGATGCAAAAAAAGCATCTGATAAAAGTCAACACCCCTAATGACAAAAACACTGAAGGATGTTTTGAAAGAATATATATCAACATAACAAAGGACATACATAATAAGCCAACAGCTAATATGTACTAAAAAAAAAAAAAATTGAAAGCTTTCTAAGATCTGGAACAAGCCAAGGATAACCACTTTCACCACTTTTGTTCAATACAGTAGCCAGAACAATCAGACAGAAGAGATAAAGGGCAACCAAGTTGGCAAAAAGGAAGTCAAATTGTCACTGTTTGCAGATGATGTGATTGTATATAAAGAAAACCCCAAAGACTCCACCAAAAAACTACTAGAACCAATAAACAATTTAGAAATTTGCAGGATATAAAATCAAAATTTAAAAATCTTCAGCACTATTATATGTCAATAGCTAATTACCTGAAATAGAGATCAAGAAAGCAACCTGATTTACAAGAGCTATCAAAAAAAAAAAAAAAAAAAAACTTAAAAATAAATTTAACCAAAGAGAAAATATCTCTACAACAAAAACTATAAAACTCTGATGAGCTGGGTGCTGGTTCAAGCCTGTAATCCCAGGAAGTGTGGAGGCTGAGGCATGAGGATCACAAATTCAAAGACAGTCTCAACAACTTAGGGAGGCCCTGTCTCAAAACAAAAAAGAAAAAAGGTTGGGGATGTGGCTCAGTGGACAAAAAAAATTTTTAAAAGATGAAAAAATTTGAAGAGGACATTAAAAAGTTGAAAAACATTCTATGTTAACAAATTGGACGAATAAATATTGCTAAAATGACCATGCTACCCAAAGCAATCTACAGATTTAATGCAATAAATAAAATACCAAAGATATTCTTCACATAACTAGAAAAACAATCTTAAAATTTGTACAGAACCACAAAACCCCCAAATATCCAAAGTAATCTTGAGGAAAAGGAACTAAGCAATAAGCATTATACTACCTGACTTCAAAATATACTGCAAACCTGTCATAATCAAAACAGAATGGTTTTTGGCATTAAAAATAGACACAAAGACTAATGGAACAGAATAGAGAACCTAAAGGTAAACATGTACAATTACAGTCAGCTGTTTTTTGAAAAAAGTGCTAAGAACATACACAGAAGAAAGGACAATGTTTTCAGTGAAATGGTGCCGGGAAAACTAGGTATCCACATGCAAAGGAATGAAACTAGACCCCTATCTCTCATCAGTTACACTAGTTGCAAAAAGGCCTGAGTAAGGAGGATCAGTGCACTGAAGAGCCACTCCATTTTGCCTTGAAACTATGAAATGACTACAGAAAAACATAAGGGAAATGTTTCAGGATATTGGAATGAGCAAAGGTTTTCTGGTCAAGACCTGAAAGGCATAGAACAAATGCAAAATGGGATCACATCAAACTAGAAGTTTCTGCATAGCAAAGGAAATAATCATCAGAGGGAAAAGATAACCTATGGTACAGAACAAATACTTGCAAACTAACAGCTGACAAGGGCTCATATCCAGAGTATGGAACTCAAAAACTCAGTATCACTACTGTCATGTATAACTAATTAGAACAACAACAACAACAAAAAACCCAATCAGTATCAAAAAAAGCCAACTCAGTTAAAATATGGACAATATAGGGCTATGGGTGTATCTTTGTGGTAGAGCAGAAGCCAAGCATTCATGAAGCCCTGGACTCAATTCTCAGGACTAGAAAACAAAATATAACATGAAAGACCTAAACAGACATTTCTCAAAAGATGGCCATAATCTCAGCTACTTGGGAGTCTACTTGAGGCAGTAGGACTGCAAGTTCAGGCCAGCCTTAGCAACTTAGCAAGAACTTTCATCA